TAACCGAGGAGACCGTCAGCTGCCTCTAGATGATGTGGACATCATGGTCACCATCAATGATGTCCCGACTACTGTCAATGCCATCGCCGTGGTGATTCCCTGCATCCTGTCTCTGTGCATCTTGGTCTTGGTTTACACCATTTTTCAGTTCAAAAACAAAGGAATCCAACAGAACACAATGACGCAGCAGTACTACAAGTACCCAGTACAGGAGTGGGTATGACAGGCCACCTTTTTGATCAAAATGTACTGACCAAAATCAGGTTGTAATGTTCTCTGCCAGCTGAATCTGGCTTAAGGCAGGAAACACAAGGTTATACAATGGAACCTCAATGCTTAAAGACGCTAACGTGTTAGCTAGGGGTAAATGTCGCAAGAACGTGTGCCTGTTTTGTGCCACAAAAAAAAAAAAAAATTTGCTGTTGCCATGGTTTCCACGATTCCTGGTCAGACAAAGACTTAAAGCAAGAGTTTGTGGATGATGCTTAAAAAAGAAACACTGACAATTTCTTCTCGGACCTACAACATGTGACTTTTCTTCTCAGTGAAAATACAAATTAAATCAGGCCAGACATTTTGTCTTACAAATGCTTATACATGTGAACTACTTCAAGTTACAAAGAGTATGAAAAATCTAACTTTGAAATAAACAGTTGTTAGAAGGCCATAACTAAAAGAACAAAGCAGGGGTCTCAACTCAGATATGAAAATGTATTTATGCTTAGAAACATTATTCAAAGAGGACCTTTTTCTTTTTTCACTAAAATCACAGCCATAAAACTCAATAAATGAAAATTGTCAGGCAAAGACAAGGCAGATTAGTCAACAGAAGCCATTAAGCACTTAACCTAACTTTGTGGTATTCATACAAATAGTTTTTAGCCTGTGGAATTAAAAACACCACAATGAAAAATGACAAACAAGTTAGCTTAGATGTTGAAATATGTCCTTTCATAGTGAGAGCACAGGGCTCTAAAGAGAACCAGTAGAGAGAAGGTGACCATGGCTGTATATTAGTATTCTGGCAGTGTTACAACATCGACGTAGCTTAATGAAGTACTTCTGTTAGCTCTAATAGGCTCTGCTCTAGGTTGCACAATTTTAATACCGGTGTCCGCATGCGTCTTTTATTTTTGTCCATCAGGTCATCTCTCTTTCATACCTCCTCTGCCAAACCCTACTGCATTTCAATATCTTTTTTCTATGTATTTGTGCTTCCCGTATTACTTTTCGATGTTTTGATCAACATGCTTTCTTTTGCCAAATAGATCATGCTTGTGATGTCCAAACACACATTCATATTCAATGTCAACAATTGCTTGGAAAGGGCCAAGTGGTGGCTGGTGTTCTTGCTTTGAAGCATTCACTAAGTATCATGTGTTATTTTATATTTCTGCCCTGAAGTTGAAGTTGAAGAATGAAAATCCACATTATTGAAGCTCTGACCTCTTGGTTGTTGATTGAAACATGTCATGAAGGCCCTTTTGGAAAAGTGCTGAAGCGTTGCAAAACTGCTGCACTGTGGTTTGGAGCATAACGTGTTCTTTATTTAAACACACTGGCTCCTCATTTAAATGTCATTAACTCTCAAATGACACATAATGGTTCTTTTAGTGGCCATTTAACTCTGCAGAGGCGTGCTGGAGTTCCCCGTCTATGACCCCCACTCTCTGGGCTGAACTCGGCGTTGTTAGGGATATTTGTGACAACACAGTTACTTTCTGTTAAGATTTTCTATAATTATCTTCAGTAGGAATGTAAATGTTACTTATTTTTCCTTTGATGTAGTTACAGTCCCATGTATTGCACGACACTGAAATTATCTTTCCAAGTCTTCTTCATTTATGGAAAAATATGAAGTCTTGGTCTCCCTGTGTCCTCCCTCCCTTTCTCCCTCCAATTGTTCCTGTTCCCACATTGAGCCTTACTCACTGAGCGCCCTGTCCTACAGTAATTGAATGTGTTCTTGGTGCATAACCGTGCAATTACTGGCCGCTGTCGTGAGCAGTTCAGCACATGCAGCATTCAGCAAAAATCAATGCAGTTCAATACCCTGCAGCGCTATTTGGACATGGGGTAAAATGCACATTTTGTTCTTTCAAGTGGGACTATAAACACAAAACAAGACATTCCATTCCAGGTACTTGAAGAAAATCCACAGTTCAGGTTTTCGCTTATAGATGCATGAATGTCAATGGAGTCATATTGTTTACTCAGCCTATTCAGTGGGCAGAGATGCATAGCACAGATCAATACAAGTGAATAGGCAAAAACTACATTACCAATCACCCACAAAGGACAAGCTTGGGGCATATTTTATTATTGATGTGCTGTGTGTGAAGACTTCATATAGCTATAAGCTAAAGAGGCAGAGAGGGGGCAGGGATGGATGCTTTTTTTTTTTTTCTCTGTGGAAAAATAGTATTATTCTTGAATTTTCTTGTTTGTATACACTGAACTGAACAGGCAGTTGTCAAGTGTATAATACCTATAACATCTGAACCAATATGACTAATTTATGTCATTATGCCCATAGAAACAGTTTGTTGTGTAAGCCTCGAAGTAAAATTGTAATTATTAAAAACTGATTTAATTACATTGGCAACCACAGGACTTAAATTTCATAAGTTGTACAAATTAAAGTGACTGCCTTTAGAGGTACAGGCTACTATTGTTTCTACATTATGGTCCTCTTTGGTAACAGTTGACTTTGGTGAAAACTGGCAAATCTACTTCTTGGCACCACTGAGTTGACCTTGTATAATGTACTGTCTTCCTTAATACTTCAGCAAGGAGTATTTTGCTGCTTTAATCATGAATCCAGTTCCCTCCTTTGTGGTTAGGGTAGATCTTATTCAGCAGGTTCATGAAGTAAAGAGGGGCCATAATAACCTTTACCCGTTGCTTGTGCATTTTTTACCCAATAGTGGAGCCTGTGGCTGTTAGTATTGTGTGTTGGTTATGAGATGTTATGCTGTAAATTAAAAGGAGAGTGTTTACCCTAGTGAGTTTACCCTAGAGGACATTGGGCTGATAGAGATGGCCACTCCACTGTTACATACCCGTAACTAATAATAATCATACATCTCATTTATTCCACCTATTCATTTATGTAGATGATGTAAATCAACAATCAGGCATAGTCATTTGTGCATTCTGTGAATATATAGAAAAGTGCCTTGCTTAAGGACACAGCGGTTCATTCTATTTTGTATCCATTGCCAATGGAGGTATTAATCTTGGCTTCTTATTCTGCTTTATTGTTGCAACCACTAATGCTAGCAGAACATCAAAAGAGGATGATTTAAGTGCAACGTTATGGAGCAATAGAAAGGTAATTAGTTCAGTAAAATAATACTTATTATATAAAGAAGTATATATAACGTATTTACTGAGATTGCTGTTTAAATAACATGTATGTCAGCAGATGTCTGTGGAAACAGAAGAAAGTTAACCTATGGTAAACATAACAAAGCATTATTCATATGGCACACAACACTTTTGAAGGTGATCGACCCAGACTCAGAACATTTACCATGTTTTATTTCCAAGATCTCTGTTTGGAAAAAGCATCTTAACCAGGTGCATAGTTTAAATATGGTGACCTGATATTGAAATGTAGGAAGTTAGGCTGTAATTTATACTATGCTGGGGGTTACGCAAGCCTGCTTTCAAACTTTATATTTATTTGTTGCTGTTGAGAGTAAAAGGTCCTCTGTAAATATGCCTGTTCTTGAGATTGTTCACAGATCTGGCACAACCGGACAATGAGATATCAACACTGATCTGTTTTCTGCCTAAAACACTGTTTTTGTATTCTTCCCAAAAATGCTGTTCATTTGAATGGAAGATACTGGTGCTGCTGATAGATCTTAGCTGCATTTGTCCAGGTCAGAAGGTAGATGTAGTTATTTTTTATATCACTCAATCTGAAGGACACTGCCTGAGATGTTGGTGGGAAAGTGATACAAACACAGAGAGATTCATTCAACACATTTCAAAGACCACAGTCACACATTATATATCCAAACAAAGGCATTCTCCTGCAGATGTTTACAAGGAGCTGAATGGTGAAAAACATGCTATAAACATACCATATTCATTGGTTTCAGCTTTCTATTATGAACTTTTCACCATTCAGAAGATAGGATGTTTTGTTTTAAATTGTTAATTACTACAGCAACAGTCCTGACTTTTCATCATTCTGAAACCCATGGCTACAAGCGTTTTGTCCCATCTCTGGTTCACTGTGAGTTTGGGTGTGGCGCAGAGGCTAAGTCTTCATTTAACTTGCCTGTTGTTGCCTTTCCTTTCTAATCCTCTTTTTAGATCAACAAAATAAATACATATTAGCCTATAGGTGTATAAAACATATCAAAGTCTGATCAAACTTTTGAAAAAACTGATTTACTGAAGTCCTGGTAACATGACTATGGCTAGTACTTTTAGTCACCTCTGCTATAGCTTTAAGAGATCTTTTTGCTGTAAATACTGTTTAAACTTTGACAGCTTTTTTTGATTAAATGGGTTGGTTATAAAATAATAAAAAAATATGATTAAAAAATAATAATCATGGCACTCTTTACAAAATGATACACTTTTAGTTTTGAGGGGTTTTGTTATGTTTCTAGTCAGATTTCTTGTCTTTATAGAGAGAACAACAGATCTTTCATTATTTAACAATTAATCTTTTGCACATTTTTATGACAATGGTTATGGCAGAGGCATGTTTACGTTCATAACTTGAAAACACTTTCTATTGCAGTATATTGTTTTACTATTTAAATGCCGACTGGAGCATAACATTTTTTAAAATATTGTTTGGTTTTATTGTCCCACGCCAATTATATACCAGTAACACTATGTTCTGTTAACTATTAAATGTCAATAAAAGTGAAAACTTCATTGTCTCATGATGTTATTAGTTGCAAGCTTCTTCTGACTCACCTACTCGACCAGCTCTAATGTACACAAATACAGACCCATAAAGTACACTGTAATACATAAAAAATAAAATAAATTTAATGTTAATTATGTGCATTAGTATAACATTAGTTTAATCTAAAAACTTGGCATGACAACACAAGCCCAGCTCTTTATGTATGTCAAATATCTCTAATTACATGTGAACAATCTGAAAATAAGCACTATTTTACTCTAAATCAGGACTCCCCAACCATCCAGGACCTAAGACCAGGCTACAGGTTATTTAGTACTGGACCCCAGAGAAAAATATTATATATCATTACAAAAAAGTAGCAAATTATAACCTAAACAACAAACATGTTCATTAAGATTTTTTTTTCAAACTATGATTAAGAGTTAGAAGCACTTTGTGCTGTTATTAGTGGCCCTGCACCCGTCACTGGCGCCTGAAAGAAATTTTGTTTGAGCTGCTCTAAATAACTTTAGAGATAATGCCCTACAGTGAGTTAGTATTTTGATCCATTATTAGTTTACTAAATCTCCATGACTATTACCATCGTTTGAGGGGCTTCTGTCCAATTATGTGCCGTGTATCCTGCTGAAATAACCCTTTGGGATATACAGCTCCCCCTCTGCTGATACGCAATATGCTCTGCCACCTGCTGAGTAGCCAGAGTGGACCTGATACATTCTACAGCGCAAACCTTATTTCATGGCCATTAGCTGAGCCCATTTAAACATTCATTTTAGCTCTAATGGTCATTAGATTATGTCCATCTTTAGACAATTGGTTCATTTTTACCTTTATAGCTAAAACAACACAAGACATTTATTCAGTGAAGAAAAGGAGCTTTCCAACCAGCACCAGCATTCATTTAAAGCAAGCATCTGGTATTAATTACTGTTTTTGATAAATATTGATTTTAGGCTGCAACATCATATTTTTATTTTGAACTTAAAGTAAAAAGTAAATTAATCATATTAACAAAATAAAGAAACACAGTTGTAAAACTTGTCACATCAAGCAAATATTTGGTGAGTATAACCAGCTTTATATCAGGTCTATAATAGGGCTATTTTAGGTTGAAATTAGGACTCAAAATAGGACTTATTCTACAAAGAAAAATACAAAGGTGGACAAAAATGTGCATAAAATTGATTTAAAATCAAACAAAACAATGGAACTGGAGCAGAATCTTCCATGTGTAATCACGTATCACAATTTGAGAACCACTACCACATTCAGATTCACATATTCACATATTATTTCCATTCTTCCAGTTTCTGTCATCTATTTCCAGTATGTTAATGGCAGTTTATCCCAGCAGGTCAATACCAGTTTGTGCATGAAATCATGAAGCTCATATTGTCCACCTTCCTGTTTCCCATCTTGCACTGGGGCATTTCGCCGCTGTATGTGTCTGTTGATAAAATAACAATTGGTGGAATAACATATACATAACAATAACACATTGGCACAAAGTTGTTGATTAATATGGTAAATTGATATAATTCCTAACAAAAGATTAAAAGATAACAAAAATGACAAAAAATAGTGAAGCACCCATAATTATGTAGGCCCTTCACCATTCTAGGATGTTGGAAATGCAACCTATTTTACCTTATAATAAAATCAGTTCCATCTTATGTGGTTACCTTTCACAACAGGTTGTTCGCTGTCAGAGCTGTTGAACTCCTCTGTACTGTCATCCTTTTCCTTGTCTTTGTTCTGAATACTCTGGTCTCCTCCCATTGTTTAAGTTCTGTCCTGTATATTTAAGCAAAGATGAATCAGAAATCAGAAAATAAATGTATATTTAAATTCTTATTGTTATTTACCACTAACAAGTCCACACAGCCCTTGTAATTGAATATAATTTATGGTTTAGATATTATGGTAAATTTTACTTTTTATGTTTTTGTACTTTGTAGGTAATTAAATTATAGGAATAATGTATCAGAGGGACCAGGTAGACCTTGACGGTGAGTGTGTAACATAGTGATAGGGACCAGAAAATGAGAGGAGATCGGACAGTGGGAAAGTGGATGGTATCAGCACCACCTCTGATTATCAGGTTGGACATCTTTAATCCTTTCCAGACGTATCCGTCCGGGACGCCAATCCAATCACACACTATACTATCACTTAGTTGAGGCGAGCGATGGGATCACCATACACTTTAGCTGCCAGTCCCTCATAGCCTCCTCATGCTCTGTAATGCACTGGACTATTGCAGAAGAAGTTTTGTTGTGTGTTGTGTTGTTTTGGCAGTGGATCACTGGAATCACTATTGCTTGTGAAGATTTTTACTTTGAAGAAGTTTACTAATCAATTATTCTAAGTGTTACCTCTTTCATTTATTTTGTCTGAGTAGTTTTTCCCTCCCTGAGGACAGCACATGACCTGCTATGACCCTGCACTGGTCCCTTAGACCATCACTCACTGTCGCGCTGTGCTCCTGTCAACCAACACCTCAAGGCTTTTCATTCAATGGGCTTTCATATATGTAAATATTTGTACTATTTTACTCTTCTAAGAACTCACGACATGCTTTTAAAGTCTGGGCATAAACCATGAATGGTTATTCAATTAGTTGACTAAATTAGTTGACAATGATTTCAATTTAGCTGTGATTAATTGGTTCACTGGTTTCAGTCCCAAATATAAGCTTTTTATCTGAATAAAAGCTTATTCTCAATAGGCTAACCTACGAAGATACATAAAAACAAAACTGGAAGCTTGTGGCTGGGAACATTTACTAAAAAATAAACTAAACTACACTAAAAGAAGTCTCTTAACCAATATGTTTATTGTAAAATAGAGGCAATGTAGGCCATGTTGTTGTTATTCCTGAGAGCTCAAGGACTCGGAGTCTTGTTGTTTACAACATTACCCCACCAACAGAGCAACGGAGTTGTGGCGTTAGCTTAGCCTTTAGACCTTTTAGCCTTTACAGCAGACGAGACTGACGCTAAAGAAATGAATTTTAGCCCACCTAAATGAGGCGACCCCAAGAAGCCTACGCGACTCGTCCGTCTCTGTCGGCTGCAGATTCCGACCCAGGCTAGTCCATGGGCTAGTCTTAATTTAGAACATAGAATATACAGAAGGCTACGTGATCCAACGATCATTTAAGAAGCGTCCTTTTATTTCCGATACCAAAATGAATATAATCAGAAGCTGGAATGGTTCCGCAGTACCTTAGAGATAAATAGTAACACCTCTGGTTTCAAGAGCCTATCTTTGGTGACCCCTCCGTCCTATGTCCGCCCATCACTCACGTGACTCACGTGAGGCTGAGGCTTGGAAAGTTGCTGCATTCACGTGATCTCGGAAACTGGGAAGATCCAAACTCCTAACTCGGAAAAAAACAGAACGCAACACGGGGCTGGGAAATTCGCTTGGTATTGGAAGACAGCGTGGTGAAAAACTGAAAGGGACTTTGTTTAATATTATACTGAGGGTTTTACTTCACAAATCAAACACATTTAAGCCAAAATGCAACTGTATATTCTAATTAATGAAATATTTTCAATGATTTCCAATTAATCAAGTTATGTATATTGTTGTCGTTGATACAGCATGTGTTTCACCGGCTGCACTCATGAACGTTATCTTCGAGTTTCCGAGATCACATGAATGCAGCAGTGTTCATAAACAGTACGTCACACAGAAAGGGGCAGTGATTGGCTCAAAGCGACAATTGAGATCTGCAGGATGGAGCGTAGACTGTGGGATGTAGGAGACTTGTGACCGCTGTTGCTATGCAGGTTCTTCAAAGGGGAGGACCAAACACTCCGACTCAGTTTTATATTGCACCTGTGTGAAGTATTTTATTAAATTTCGACATCCATCTGGCTCTCTCATGAATCTGGTTCTTTCCTCAACTTCACAGAGTTCTAGACCCCTTTTGACACTTTCACAGTGCACACGTAGGAAGAATTATGCGCTGGGGGGTTATTGCACAGTTTGGGGATTTTTATTTTTTTTTAAACAGCTGCTCCAGTCCGACGAAAAACGTTTTGTTTGAGTTTTTCTCATTTACTCAACTGTTACAGCGTTGAATTAGGTTAAATATTCAAACGAAAAAAGGGAATTGGGGATTACACAGAGAGCAGGGCTTCTGCCATTACCATTTCAATACTCTACCAAAAATTGCAACATTAATTGCGTTCTAGAGCCGTAAACTATATATTCTCGTAATCTTGTATAATTTACAGGTTTGCAAAACAGTCTGTTGTTTGTAATAATACTACTAAATATTAAATTAATAAATAAATAATCATTAAATAATTAAGAAATAGTAAAATTGTAAAAAACAAAACGAACAAACAAACAAAACAAAAAAAACTAACATATTTTTGTTGACGTCCTACGTCATCACGTTAACCCTGGAGCGGAAGTGAACACGTGTGGAGGAGTCAACGCGCATGTTAGAAGGCCAAAAATATAACTTGGGTACGTTTATATCTTGTTTTTCCCTCACGAATCGAAAACAATATAGATTACGTGTGTTTATCATTAGATTTGTTACGCTGATGGTGGTTGAATCTTGAGCTCATGCGCTTTTCTGTTGTTTCTGACATTTTGCTGTTAGCATATCCACAGCTAGCAAAGCCACACAGCACACTGTTTTCTTTTAATCTTTTTAAAATTCTGTTTCTTTTCTCTTAACAGTAACCGTATTCTTTCTTCACAATGGCTGTAAGATCAGCATTTGAGAAAAATAATGAAATCGGATGTTTCTCGAAACTAACTAACACGTACTGTCTGGTGGCTATTGGTGGAGCCGAAACATTTAACAGGTATTTATGTTTTGATATCGAGCAGTTTAATTTTTAAACATGTGTACCGACCATTTGACTGATGTAATGATCATGTAACGTCGGCTGTGACACACACATCAGCCATAGAATTGTATGAACTGTATGAATCATTCACCTTCTCAAATGTTAATGTCATTAAGAAAATGCTTAAACTGTGTGATGTGCCAGACCATGTAGAAAGCTGTAGAAAGTGTATGCATTTTTGTCCACAGTATATTTGAAGGTGAACTGTCAGAAACCATCCCAGTAGTTCATGCATCAATAGCAGGTTGTCGCATTATTGGAAGAATGTGTGTAGGTAAGTGTTTTGTTGTCCTATTTCAACTACTCTGTTGTGAAGTAATTGTGCTCATTTGTATTCATTTTCCTATATCTTATATGTGTCGGATTTGATTTTTACTTTTTTTTTGTAGGAAACCGTCATGGCCTTCTTGTTCCTAACAACACAACAGATCAGGAGCTCCAGCACATTAGAAACTGCCTTCCAGACCCAGTGAGAATTCAGAGAGTCGAGGAGCGGTTGTCTGCTCTTGGGAATGTCATAGCCTGCAACGACTATGTTGCACTGGTCCATCCCGACCTTGACAGAGTGAGAAATGCCTCTTATGGATGTATGAAGTATGTCCACATAAGTTAAAAGTGTCCTTGACAAACTTGTCATCTTTTATCAGGAAACAGAAGAAATCCTTGCAGACACACTAAAAGTAGAAGTTTTCCGACAGACTGTGGCAGAGCAGGTGCTAGTTGGCTCTTACTGCGTGTTCAATAATCAAGGAGGTTTAGTCCATCCCAAGACATCTGTAGAAGACCAGGATGAATTGTCTTCCTTACTACAAGTTCCTCTTGTGGTGAGTGGTGAGATCGGAATACCTATACAAGCAGTGTATAGGAGCAGTGGCCAAAGCAAAAGATCAAACTGAATAGGTGCACTGTATATATTCTCACTCTGATGTGAACTTTGTGGTGCAAGAAATAAGCTTAGCTTTGGACTTCATTCTCAAATTCTTCTTTGGTTCTAAATGCTTTAAGGTTTTGAGGATGTTTGACTTTGCTTCAAATAACAAAAGATCTTAAAATAACTTGTGCTTGTGTTTATAATGCAAAGTACAGTGGATTTAAGACACATACCTGCTTTCTTTAAACTGTCAAATGTCTTAATTTCAGGCTGGTACAGTGAACCGGGGCAGTGAGGTGATCGCAGCTGGAATGGTGGTGAATGACTGGTGTGCTTTCTGTGGGCTAGACACCACAAGCACAGAGCTGTCGGTTATTGAGAGTGTATTCAGACTGACTGACTCCGCACAGCTTTCAGCCATGGGCCGCACCAGCATGAGGGATTCACTAATTGACAGGTAAAAACACTTTTAATTTGGCAAAGCCCACTGTCCATTTGATAGAATAGTGTGGTAGGGTTTTGTTTACACATGTCTAATGAATCACCAGTTCTGTATGCTGCTACAAGTGAAAAAAAACAAACAGGCAATAGTAAATTGAGAGTTGCCAATGTCAACACAATAGGCAGATTCACATCAGTATTGCTCATCACTCTTCAAGTCGCTCATGTTTTCTGCATGGTAGACATGGGACATTTTATAATTACTTGCATGGTCCTTGCAAAAGCTTATATTTCTCCTAGATTTCTACTACTATATGTAATTTTCTCAGCTTGATTATGCACCTTATTCCTATACAAAATCTGTATGTTTTAGTATAACATGATGTAACAGGGTCTGAATAGTGTTTTGGGGCAAATATTCACAGTACCAATGTACCAGTATATTTGGGAAATGTTAAATAACCTCAAACCAGCTTTAATTTTGACATTTTTTTTAACCTTTCTTTTTTCTTGTAGCATGGCTTAAACCCTGGAAACCTCAGCAGCAGATTCAAGTAGTCATGTTCTTTGTTGACTGAAATGAAAAAAAATAAATAAAAATTGAGAAATACTGCTGCTGTGTTACGTTCTGTAGTCTTTGTCACTACATACACCCAACATGTAGAAGACTTCCTGTGATTGTGTAAAATAACAATTGTTTTGCACAAAGATGGACTAAAATAGTAAAATAAATGTAATGTTTATGGGATGGGTATTGTAGGAGCCATTCGTGGGTTTTCTATTGGTTTCCTCACGTGACTAATGTGCACGCGCTTTAACTCTGTGCACTACACTGCGGTGTCTGGGGGTGGCACGGTGGGTGTGGTGTGGCCTATATATGAGCGCGCTCACCTGTTGAGTGTAAGGCCTTGGATCATGGCGGCGGGGTGAGGACGGGGAGCAACTTTCTGTTGACCGTATTTTAGCAGGAAAGATTTCCATATAGAAGGAATCGGTGCATGACTACGGACGGCAGCAGCTTTAAATTAAGTGCTCTATCGCGTATGCCTACCATTACAAACAAGTACCGTGTATATGTGCATTTTTTTCCGAGTTACGCGTCCACAGTGTTTTACCCCGTGTCTTAGCCCGCCACGGCGTGTGGGATAAGCATTGGGCTACATACGCCGCAATAGGTATGTTTCAATGAGTAAGTGAAGCCAAACAGGTTGTGGGTGACCATATGAAATTTCTCTCGTCAAATCTACTCTAAACAAATGAACTCTTTTCAAATAAAAAGTAATTTTTATGTGTTTGTGAGTCTTTTATTTAACCAAATAGAGCAGTTAAGAAAATGCCATGTAAGATGCACATGTTGTTGAATGATTAAAATGTAAAAATGTAATATGATAAAATGTAAGCAACAAAAAAGCACTAGTAAATACACACGACAAACACGATTTTAAAGGCAACTTTTTTATTGGCAAATGCTTTGAATAAGGTAGCAATGCATCTACTGTATATACAGAACACTTTCAAAGTGTGACAGTATAAGAAGCCTAAGACAGTTTGTAATACAGTTTGATTATAGGATCCTTTTATACACTTACAATTTCAAACACTTATTTTAAATTTTTGGTATGGGAAACCTCTATAAAAACTCAGACTAAAACAAGAAGGTTAAATCTGTAGCACACATAAAAAAAAAAAAAAATCAACATGCTAAATTTGTAGTGCATCACAACCTATTATTTTTTTTATATAAAATCTTTCAAACAAAGTTGATGGATGTACAGAAGAGGAGCAGAGAAAAATGTTGCAGAATAAAAAAACAATTTTACTAAGGATACGGTAAATTTGGAAAAAAAGTCAACCCCCATGCCCTTTTTTTTAATTAATGTGCAAAAGAAGCTCATTCATTTTCTACAGTAATACATGTCTAATGCTATTCTATCAGGACACACACATAGCCATCATACAAGCTCTCAAACACAGATGGGAGAGAAGTGGGGCTCACAGTGCAAAGAGCAGATATTTGAAAGCACCTCCACTCAGATGAAAAGCTCCAACAATTTGGAGAGTGATGCCTCCTCTATAAAGTGTAATCATGTAACTGTTGACAACAGCAAAAACCAACAACAATGAAAAATATGTAATTTCCAAACGTCAAATGTGTAATCCTCATCTGCCTTTCAATAGAACTATATTTTCTTATGGTTGAGCATTAAAGCAGTGGTGGTATGTGCATGTATGCCAACAAGTGTCAATAAGGTGATTTGTGCTCAAAAGGCTAAATAAACATGAACTGCATGATCAAGTGTAGCAGCATTTGGCTAAAGGTGCTAATCCTAATATCCCTTTATTGTGATAGAGCAGTTTTTAATTTACTACAATTAAAAGGGGTGACTTTGAACAGGTCATTGATTAAGACAACACCATAGTGTGGTTGGACCTGTTAGTGTCTGAGGATAAATATTGCACACAGAAATGAACAAAATAAATCAGGATTATAGTAGTTCTTACTAAACATAGATGTCAGTGAAGAAAATCGTAAACTAACAGGCTGACAAAATGTTAAATTATACTGACAATGAGAACAATTTTAACTAAATCTACAGTAATAACAAACAAAAAAAAAAAAAAAAAAGACTAAAAAACATTTTAAGCATACATAATAAAACAACCAATCTTGCCTGGTATTATAAACATGGTAATAAAAAGTAACTGAAACTACTGAAAGTACTGTTGTGATGGATTTGTATGTACTTCATAATGTGCTCAGTAGCTAAGCTTTGATGTTGTGTTTTATGCCTAGCTTGTAAATTTAGTGAACTGGAGAATTTAGTGCAAGATGAAACAAAAAGCATAAGAATACCCCATACTGACGTGTATGACCCATAGGAGCATCCTCTAGTGTTAAGGTGTAGTTACTGACCAATACTAAGTGTGTACAGGCTTAAACTCAATGGAGGAGCGCTAATGTGAGCCTGCAATGGAGCACAGTGTACAGGATCACAACGTGTGGTGGTTTTATGCTCCCAGCCCCTGATGTCTCCTCCAGGCCCCGCCATGACCATTACTCCTCTCTAGCACCCAAAAGTCTCCTGCGAGGCGTAGACCATGTAGAGGAAGCCGTCCTCGTCTCGCTCTTGCTCATAAATCTCAGAGATTGGAGTGGATACGGACACCATGCTGTGCTGGTTCACCAGTAAGAAGAAGGCCTGAGTGGGGTTCAGCTGCAAACGGCGTCTGGTAGAAAGAAAAGACAAGGTTGATGTGCCTATGTTAATAGGGTAATGTGGAATCTTGATAGATCTGTTATGACTGCTCTATATAGCGCAAAATTATTGTTTGATATAGCAGTGTAGCTAAAATGTAGTGTAGAAGTGTTTGTGCAGTATTTCATATCAGGTTTTGATTTCTAATGTGAGAACACTTGAATGGCAGATTGGAGGTTGAGTCCTCTATATGGGCAGTTTTTATAGTTTTTCTTCCACATTTGAATTCTTGTCCAAAGTTCACTGAAGGATTTTTAAGCCCGCTTGTTTTGGATCTTTGTTTTGTTGTTAGTCCATGTTTACTTCTAAACACACAAGGAGATTGACTGGAGTGTAACATCATCTGCAAACAACTTTAAATACTCACACATACCACATGTACATTCAAAACAGCTTAATGGTATTAACAGTTTTACATCTTCAAAGTACCTGATGATCTTCACAAGCTCACTCATGTTGACATGGTCTGGCACCAAAAACTTTGTCTTGTCCAGAACTGGAAGCTGCTTCTCCCCCTTATATCTCTCAATAATTACCTGTAAACATTAGAGAAGACAATGCATTCAATACGAATAGACACATAAGAAAACCTGTATAAACGCACCTGCTGGTTTTGAATACTTGGTGTTAAAATAAAACAAAACATTATTGTAGTGTAAATTACTGCATATTTTGCAATGAGGGGGAAAAAGTAGCTTGACACTCTTTCTGAACAAAAAAGTGACTTACAGGGATTTTGTTGGGATGTTGCTCCCGGATCTGCTGGACCTCCTTGCACCGGTCAGCTGTAGGTGGCAAGTAAAACAATTTTATAACCAACTGTTAAAACTGACAACATGATATGAGATACCAAAGTAAATGCTGCAAATGCTCATTTCTTGCCAATCCCAGAATGACCAAGGTCATAAAAAATGGCTCAAGAAAGACGCAACATTTTGTATGTTTGGTTTGGTTCAGTGTTTATGTTGTTTGGACAATTCTTTACTTCCATTTGCAAAAAAAAAAGTATGTGCAGTTTTTTTTAACACTGATAAGGTTAAAAGCTCAATGGCATTAGGGGAATAATGGTTTCAATAGTCCCTTTGTTAAACTGAGCTGTTTAACAACTCCTCAGTACTGCGTGGCAGCTATTTTAATTATTTATTTTTTAGCTATTGTTACAAGAGATTTGTCAAATCCACTGGCATAGTGACATACTTCAACCAAATGCACACGTAATGTATTGCAACTGGTAAATTCAATATTTTATCTATCATGAACAAGGTTTTTTGGGGGACAAATTACACTCTACAAGGCATGTTACTTAGCAATAGAACTAGCACAAGATTGTTTGTGTTTGTATTATTAAATCTGGGTCACTGAGAATACAGCTCTGACTGCCTGACCTGTACGGGCATGATTTTTATATCTTGCTTTTGATGAAACTCTGCTTTATTCAGAGTATTATGTTCCAAGTGGCCAGTTCCAGGACACATATTATGCAATGAACGCCTCCCTTTACCAGCTCAAGGGCTGACTACACGCATCAAATTACAGCATAATTTACAGAACACGTGTACTTGGTTAATGTACTTTGAGAAGTATAAACACATTCAGGTCTCTTTTTGCAACCAATTATTATTCAAAACAACTTATAGGTGAAAAAAGGGCAGGCCTAAGGAGCTTCTTTAACGTCAGAGCCACCATTTGTGACCTTGCTATAGTGTCCAAGATATTTAAGAACCGACGTACATAACCTAATCACATGAAATCCCAGTGCCGACTTTGCAATTAACCAGATAATTTGAATTATAGCATTATTTAACCACTTGTTAGAAAATATCCTGCAACGGACCAATTAGTTTAACATTATAGCTCTCGTTATCACTACGTAAACCCCTCGTTGCGTGTTAAGCAGTAACAAACAAGGTATTAAAGCGTAATAACATTTGAAACAAGTAAACAAGAAGCTAGCAGGCCAGCAGGCTAACTTTAAATGCTAGCGCAGACAGCTGCTTTTCAAGCACCTTATCAAGCCCAGCTGATATCTTACCAAATGTCCTCCTTTGTTTGAAGGGTCTGTCAGACGGCATCGTTGTGTGTAATTACACAGTTATTACGTTATGAATACACTCTTCTGTCCCTCGTGAGTAACAGATAATAATAACACAGAAGTGTGTTTATTCCTCGCTCTGCTCGTCGGTCAGTCTTAGGTCTCAAGCCCAAACAGCTCTGGACAAACAAAGCAAGAAAACCCACCCCTCACGTCATGCGCTCTCTTTAAAGGCGACGTGCACATAATCAAAAAACTGGCAGAGTGATGTTTCCAAACCAAAACCAAAGTTTATGCAGTTCTATTTGTCTGATGGGTTGGCACAGTACAGCACCTAGGACAGCCAAACCTTTCTAAGCATACACTCCGGGGAGAGAAACAAACACAAAAAACAGGGTGGGAAAAGCTTTTTCATAGGAAAAAGACTAAATAAAGTTGAAGTACATAACCAGATTTTCGGGAGAACCCAGCACTGATATTTAACGACATTTATTACAAATATTCCTTTGCAATACACTTACACCCATTTTGTCAAAAGTTGCATTGTAGACCAATAAATTGGTCTGTGCCTTTAAATCTGCTCTCGAAACCAAACGGGTCCCATGTGACCAGGAAGTGAGTGTTTCTTATTCCATGTTTTCATAAGGTATGGAGCTGATTATAAACTACCCAAATGCTAAACTAAATTGCGTTTGCCTCAATTTATCTGTCCCCTCAATCTGTGAGTATGGATATAGTTTGAGAAAGTTGTCTTTTGTCAATTATTCACTGGCGTCAATTGGGCCACGTGACCACGCTTGCACGCCAATGGATTTCAGATGATACGTTTTGCTCTCAAATATTAAAATAATACAAGTTGAGTGGCAACCCAAATCTTGTCTGTTCAACTTGTGCGCTTATTCAAGTCATTATGTGTTGCGCTTGTAAGTGTTATAGCAAAACATGTTTTTGCACCGTGACTGACATCGGCGTCACGAAGAATGACTAACTAACCACGACACATTTAAGTTATCGCTTCTCGGCCTTTTGGCTAAGATCAAGTGTAGTATCTGTTCTTATCAGTTTAATATCTGATACGTCCCCTACCCGGGGACCATATATTAAATTGATTTTTGGAGCAGGGAGATGGAATAGGGGCTTGCTCCGTCCACTCCGCGCATCGACCTGGTATTGCAGTACCTCCGGGAACGGTGCACCCCCTAACAAGGTGAAAATCAATCAAGAAATCTTTTCCTGATGGAAGAATAATAGTGAGGCTTGACGTTGTGTGTACCATAAAAAAGTCTTCACATCAGCACAGACAACGGATGGAAGATTATAATGTATGGATTACTTTTAATTTAAAACTAACTTTAAAAACCCAATAACAATAAAGGCATACTTTGTGAATATACATTAAGACATTTGGGCGTTCTTAACAGCACTTTCTAATATGCTCAGTAGATGCCCTCAGATTGCCATTTTACTACATTTAGTGAATCACTTCTTGTAACCACACAGGCGCCTTCAACATCAAATAAACGAGATAGTCATACCTAGATCCATGATTCATATCCAGTGTTTCCTTAAGACTGTTGGCATGTGCAACTGTGAGGAAAAAAGATGCATATTTAATCCTCACCTATTAAACATGACATTTAAAATAACTGAAGCCTTTCCCATCCAGAATGCTGTTACCATTAAAAATGTAACAAAATACTCAGTGATAGTACACATCTGGAGAACATTTTATTCAACATTTTTTTAGAAACTGACTTCTTGTTTAATACAGTAATCATTTGCTTTTGCAACGTCTTCCCGATAGGGTCTGAGAGCTTTGTAGGCAAACTTTATGTAAAACAAAACAGTACAGCAAACCACAGAGATATGATAAGAAAGAACCTTTAACTTGAAACATTTACAAACCTGATTGCCTCATATAACTTGTATTCAAAGTTAAATTCACAGTGAAAGAGCAGTGACAGATGTCTTCAGCCTCCACCTTTGCTGGAGCAGAGTGTAAACATGAGGTACAGAAATACATGTATAAATAGAAGTATTATAAATAAAGGGGTTTGTTCTCTTGTTCACACAGAATATGCAGTGGAAGCTCTCAGAACCAACAGGATGAATGAGATGGAGAAATATGGCATTTCCCTGTCACAGATAGCTGGGGTCATAGATTAATGTGTGAACGTCTGGTTGAAAAAAGAATCCCAGGCTGAGTATCCTGTTAAAGGGCACCCAGACAGGCCTAGTCCTGGAGGATAACATTTGGAAAAGCAGCAAGAAAAGAAAACAACAGAATCCATGAAAAGTGACACTAAGCAGATGGGGGAAATGAAAAGCAGAGCGTTTAACGCTACAGAGAACATGCAGATTTAAGATGTAAAACATATTAAGCCTATAGGAGAGGAACACTTGTATAGTGGCAAGCTGGAATCTGCAGCTTTGTTTCACAGGCCAGCGTCGTTGTACGTTGGTGTTGTCACCTTCAGGATACTTTGTGCATTCTCCTCCACTAGAGGGCGCCACTTGACTTCTCCTGTGAGCAGCAGATCATCTCCATCCAACGCATCAATGAACTGCATCTGTACAGAACATCACAAGAGTATTTACTATTAGCTCAAGGCTTTTCCGATTAAAATGGCTCTGGCTGTGGTGCTCTAATCTAGGAGCTAATACAGCAAAGTACAATTCTCTACAGAGGTTTCCTTATAAAATGTAAACACACACAAAAGGGAGAAGGCTTTTCAATGGCATTCTGACTTCATTTGGTGATAAGAAAATACTACAAGGCTTAAACCAAACTAGAGTGGAGTTTGAATACAGGTAAAGCTGTACTATCTTCTTTGAACTCATTTATTAGTTGTAGAGCCAGCTTCAGGTGTCAGCCTAATGTCTGAACCTGGTAATTTTACTAAAATGTAAATCTTGGGAGCAAATTGGGTTACTGTAAACTTCTAGAAACTGCTCCATAAATTACCAGAATGCTGTTGTTTATTTGCTTCTTTTTTCCAATCACACCTAAGCAGCTTGTAAAGAGACTTTTGATACTCCCATCTTTCAGTCATAGCCAAATCAACAGCCGCTGAGCATTGAGAAACCAAAGGGCTTCTTTGTCCAGTAAACTACATCCTCTCAGTGAATGAACACTACAATCAATACAAGGAAATTATATTACATGAAGTTAAAATGTGGTCAGTAATTTCAGTAAACAATTCACAGAAATGAGGCCTATAACCTCTGTGTGAATAATGAGTTAGAGAACCATGTTTTTTGGAGGAGTGGGGCCTAGCTCTTCACATGTTTCTATTTGTTTGGGCATAGAGTCAATGGCACAGTGGCACTTCACCTGACAAGCTGTTTACCTTCCCCGCGTGCAGAGGAGCAGGAGGTGCGTACACACTGAGCAGCAGTTTCTCAGGCCACAACCAGGAATACAACAGTGGATCTGTTCAAATGTATTCTACCTCAGAGGCCATTTGGATTGACACGATTGCCTGGGAGGCATTGTAACAGTACCATAAAACAAGGATAATTTCATTGTGACAAAACCTTGGGTTACAGGATTAGCAATTGCTGCACAATATAAAACTGAAATCATTTGTTAAATGTTTGGTACAAACAGGTCTGAACAGGTTTGAGTTTAAAAGGTTGCAAGGTGGCTGTGTGGCATACGTTTGTTTTCTGACGCAAAACTCTGTCTCTGCAGCTGGACATTGCGTACACAGCCTGAGAATAGAATCGTATTCTCTGCATTGGCTGAATCATTGTGACACTGCTCTTATGACTTTTGACCCACATGGAGGTACATTTGTGCGAGCAATCCTCAGACCCGGTTTGACTGACATTACTAAGGCAAGCAGAGATCATTAAACTTGAGACATATTTAAGTATTTGATGTAAACACTGAAAAACAGGGAAGCCAGAGTTAAACAAAAAGCGGCCCTTACTGCAGATGGAGGCCTGCAGGTGTTTCCAAAACCAGGAGTGTTTTCAATCACACAGAGGCAAAGAAAACATACAGCGAAGTGCAGGGAGGGGTAGGGGTAAGTTAAAAGTTTCGGAAAAGTGCTCAGTAGGGGTGGGTGAGGCGGAAATGGGTAAATGTGAAGGGTCAAACTTTGTAGAAAACTGCTGACATCACCAGCTCACATGGAGCATAACAGTAAACCATCACAGTTACCACTTTCCTAAAGAGATTGCTGCTTCAGATTTTACAAGATCAGGAGTTCAGTCCTCAAATGAATAGACACGCTGCAATAAATACTTACTAATCTACTACAAGCACTCCCACTTTTGTAATATAAAGAAAATGGCACACACCTGTTTGCGTACATATTCAACCATGAGCTCGAGCTGTTTAGGGTCCTCACATTGGCAGTTGAACAGGTTCCTCCAGAGGGCTGCAGCTAACACACTGTCATCAGAGAGAATTCCCTGCAACATAACAAAACACAATCACATTACTCATGAGAACACAGACACACCATCAAGCCAATCCAACACCCCCATTATAGGTACATGTCCATACTTCAGACTGCATCTCTCACCTCATCATATCCAAATATTGCTGCATAGAAGGTCTCTGTCATTGCCTTTGTTGCTTCTTTTCTTTGGATGGCATCAATCTGCAGAACATAGAAAGCACAGAATGATAAACTCTTCAGACTTCGGTATAATGAAGCCAACACGCCTGAGCTGGTGTTGGTGAAAATCAAACCTTACCATCAATAGGACACAAAAATTGTGTTTATCTTTAGATTTTAAGCACTTATCTGTTAGAAAAGCAGCCATACTTATTACAGACATGCAGCAAACTGAATAACTCAATAATGTTGTGGCAGTGAGACATGTAGAAGTTCAGGGAGAGCGAGGACTGGGGTAATTTACTCCATGTTCATAATTACTTGTGCTTTCACGGCTCCTTTCCACAATTATCATGAAATCTGAGAGCGACTCCAATCACTGGCTCTGCTTGTGACTTGTGCAAATACAGAAGCTGCTGATGCAGGTTTCTAACCTGAACATTGTGTGGACACTGTGGCAGTTTAAACTGAAGACTGTATTTTAGAAAGAAAACAAAACACGACTCCAACAGAAAACATACATGTGCTTTTCATGGTCTGCTCTTCCAGAAAGCAATTAGTGTTAGGCATATCCTACACTGAGCTACTTGCATGAGACAGACACACACATCATCAGGTGAGAACCATTTTTTGTTATAAAAGTTACACAGATCTGTCAAAAAACAAGTACAATACAATTTTCTTTTTTACAGTTTTGTTGTTATGACAATATGATTTCAAACTTCTGATTGTAAGGAAGAGACTTGACAGTTAAAAATGGTATCAAAATTGATGTTTTCAGTATGGATACTCGCTCATATCAGTATCTGGTCTGGATATTAGCTTTACTATTGGCATTTTATTTTACACACATTTTCATAATTCTTTACCATTACAATGTAAATGTCATTGCTGCAAATCCAAAGGTGCCATTGACGTAAAAGTTTCACAAGATAGAGGTAACTAAGAAACCAACCTATAAATGTGCGAAAATTGAAATGACCAAAGGAAATTCAAAGTATGAAGAATGAGAGGTGCAAAAAGGTATGGAATGTCAAAACACCAGCTCAAAATGAAGGATTTCTAAACTTAAAAATGTCCTTGTGAGCTCTCCTTGTCACGGCTACCATTTGGAAGTGGGAGGGAAATAATCCAGAGGAGAGACAATAAAAATCAGATATGTTCATGAGCACACGGCCACCTATGGGAAGTCTCAGCAAAGACAAAGCACCAGCAGGTACAGCTATTAAAAGTAACACAAAGGGTATTACATTCAGCCACTATTCATGCTCGCCCACTACACAGGACTGCAGTTTTTATGTACCATCTTGAAGCTCTGAAGATTTGGTGCACAACTATTTGACTCAGGTTCCCACAGTTTTCCTCCTTTTACTCACAGCAACAAACTCATCCACATTCCCTCATTAACTTCACCAGTCAACATTCCAAAAATTGAACAGACTATATTCTAATTAAAAATAGTTGAGCAATTAAATCTTTTATAGACAAATGAAAGAAGTCACTAAATGTGAAATAGATTTCAATGGACAGTTACTTAGAACTTAAGGTACTCCAAATTTTCCCTCTGTCTTTGTTTCTGACCAGTCTGTATTGTTTTTATATTGGATATATAAAAAGTTGGATCAGTACATTAATGGTCTGCATTCATCCATTCGTTACGACACTCCACTGTTTGTGACAATCTGAACTGAAACCATACAAGCTCCTATAGTCACAAACTGTTGTAGACTAATCTAGTTGTAAAACCTGATTGATTCATTGGATTGGATGAAGAATTCTGACATTTTGTGCCAGGCAATGAGAATATATAGAAAATGTACCTTAGCATGCTGATCAAAGTTCACATGGGCAGCTGTGAAAACACCTGCAGACAGAGTCCCTTACTGCACCTCCCCGCTCCGCCCAGAGCACACGCGCGCACACACCACGAGTGAGCTCACCAAGCACAATGTCATTTCTCATCTCTGACCTCTTTCTGTCACACAGAACCAAAGAGCAAAACTGAAGGGCTCATTATGAAACGCCTGCTTAACCTTGGCTCCCGCTCAACCATCCTGTGATGTTAAAATCAATGACAAAAGCTAATTATAAAGCTCATAGCATTAAGACTGACACACAGAAGGAGGCAACACAATGTGCTGGTTTCAATAGCAAATAATGTGACACAGAACTTGTGGTTAAGATTTTCACAGATGCTGGTTGTAACCAAAAAGAAAAAGTAATTCTTGTTTTTAATACAAACACCTGGAAATCTAGATGAGTTTCTGCTTCCTGATACTTTCTGCAACATTTTGAGGACCTTTTCCCATTCAAAAGATGTATTCCCATTCAAAAGATGTATATTTAGTTTTAAATTGTTAATCACTATGGCAACAGTCTTAATTTGTCCTCATTCAGAAGCTCATGTATATAATCTTCTGTGTCTCAAAGAATAAACTGCTGCACAACAGTATTTTTAGGGGAAAGGCTTTGTTTTCTTTTAAATTATCAAAAAAAAAAAAAAAAAAACACACAAAAAAAAAACAAAAAAAACAACATTAAACATTAACTGATTTTGTGTTTGCTTCTTCATCAGTTTTGAAGATAAATTTTACATGGAGGATGGCCAAACTAAATGAAATAGCCTGTTAAAACACCATTTCCTAAAGTTCCCCTCTACTTTCTGGTTATGTAAAAGAGCTCTGTGTGGTGATATTTACACAGTGCTGGCTGTGGCTGCTCAATGTGACGTCAAGAACACAGGATTTGGTGAGAGGCTTAAGCACAGGCTGACTTTTTAATTTCTTGTTTTTATATGGATTTATAGTGCCTGCCATTTCCAATAGTAAAGCAAGTGTGCTGGCTCATTAGAGTAATGTTTGTCTTCAACAATTAAATGTCAAGAATCCACGCCATGTTTTTGTAAGCAATCAGCTTCGGTTAATTCCAGATTTAAGTATGACAAAATGTTTTCAAATGCCCAACGCAGCAAAGCAAAAACATAAGTCAGTGCTGGTCCAGTGACAGAGAATAGAGGAGCAGCTCTGTGGGCACAGGGCTGTAGCCAGGACAACTCTCTTGGGACTTGGCTGCACGTTTGACTGGAGAAAGACTGGCACAATTACAATGAGGCGAAACCTTACTAAAACTAAGTCTGCATCCTATGTTGCATGCAGCAGCACGAATTAAACTGAGAGCAATTCTGAGGTGTGGTTTAAATTATAATTATATTTCGTTAAGAGAGTGTGACAGACAGACACTTATGGGGTAGGTCTGTAAGGTTTATAAGAGCACAATTGCATTGGGGACAGAGGTGGGAGATATATATATAAAAAAAAATGACATACCAAACTTGGTCAACCAAAAAAAAAAAAAGCAAATGTAGTGTATAAGGTTTGAAAGAGGGGGTGTAACATGATATTTCTACACTTTTTCAGGTCATTTTATGGTTCATCCACTTTGTGTCAAACTTAAACCTCAATCACAACATTTACAGGTGCATTTTAGCATAGTAAGGCCGAAATGCTTAAATATGACCCAATTATTGCCATTGGGACAATAATACAAAAACAAACAAATCAAGACATTACCCACCCCGAATTGGGGAGTGGGACCTATAATTCTCTCTTTAACATGATATTTAATGACACAAATAGACCAAGATGATTTTGAACATGTAGTTTTCTTTCAATATTAAACACTGACAAAAAAGTTATTTAATTATATCCTTTACCATTTTTAAACTTGTTTTTAAAATCAGTTTTAACTCTTTCCCCCATGAAGACGACATTTGACGACCCCCCCTGAACCCTTAATGACGACTTTTGACACCTCCGCCGTATCACTAAAGATGAGATTTGACGACCTTTAGAAACGGCTCGGTTTTTCACATTTAAACAGAGACTGTGATAGGTGGGGGCCACTACAACCCACACTAGACTGACCAATAGGATTCAAGGATATGTTTTCGCCGATTTTTTCCGAAGTTAATCGAAATAGTGACGATGGTAGCTTCCGGAAAAAACACAACACGAAACACGTGCAATGGAAAGATTGCGGCGCACAGTTTTAGAAATAAGGAGCAGACGTATTTTATGGATAAGTTTAGAGAAAGTGACTTTTATAGATTTCAAAGTGATGATGTTGAAGTTGATTATAAAGTGGAAAACAGCGACAGCGACGGACTTTCGGGGAGAAGATGAGAATGCCGCTGATGCGTCTGTGTGGAGTCCTGCAATATCCGAACAAACTATCTGAGCTTTATACTCGATTATGAACCAAAATTGCCCTGAAATCTGGATGTTGCCCAGGCCAGTCCTCTAAAATATTTCGTCTTTTTTTCCAAGATGCGATGTATAACAGAATCGCTACAGAAAAAACGCTTATGTGGAGCTCTGCGCACGAGAAAATAGCCAAGATGACAAATACTGGACACCCACTGACGGGGAAGAGTTTTATTATTATATTATAATAAGCTAAATTAGTTGAATAAGCTAAATGAGTTGAATAAATAAAATAAGTTGTATAAGCTAAATGAGTTGAATAAGTTAAATGGAAAAAAATTAATTGGGTGCACACAGGTGTACAACAGGTAAAAACAGGTGTACACTTGGCTATACTGTATCTGGTGATATGAAATCTGTTTAAATACTTTGACAAAGTATATTTTTTATGAATATAGTACTCAGAACATGTATATATCAGATGCTGAATGTAGTTTTTTGTTTTCGAGTTTGCACCTGACCAGGTAAACTCTCATTTTCAGTGAGCTGTTATACACCTATAAATGAGTTGAATCACATTTAAACATCCATAAATGAATAGTTCAGAGTGTAAGGTTTCCAGAGATACCAAATATGTCTGTGTTACAATTAAGTTCATGAGTGTAAAAATCATTTATAATCACTCGTGGCAGTCTGTTTTCTTTTATGCAATTATGCTCTATGGGTAGCTCTAGTAACATATGTATGGGTTGTTCCTAGTAGGCGTCCAGGGGGGAAAGAGTTAAAATGTACAGACTTTACTTACCCCCATGATTTTGCTCCTCTGCTCTACATCCTCCCACATTGAGTGAACAACATAACGGCACATGTATTTCCCCTCTCTGCCCTCCTGACGCATCCTCACCAAACACATCCTAAAGCAAAGATAATGTTGTAATACATACATGGGTTTAATTGAAAACTGTGCACAGCATAATGCTAAAAATGAGAGACTTACCATACATGTAACTGTGCTACCAAAAACCAGGAGTTGAGTGTGTCTGGAAGGGAGCATTCTAAAACACAGAAGTGAACAACACAGTGAACAAACTTTGAACTTTCTCGGCAAGTGATAAAGTAAATTAAACAAGAAAGAAAAATAATAAAATGAGCTTGGTCGTTATGTCACAAACTCTTAAACTCTGAATCCCAAAATATGAATCATGTATCCAGTAGATCAGTTTAGTATTGCTTACTTTCAAAGAACTCATCATAATTGATTCTTTCTACACAGCATGTGTACATGCGCAGGGCAGCAATCTTGATTTTCTGTAAAATAAAAATAAGAAAATATTGACAAAAGGTAAAATTGTTGCTGTTCATTCAATGAGCTCTTCACTAGTTTTCTAGGTCCATCTCAGGTCAGCAGGGACACACTTTTTATTAAAATAATGATGTCAAAACAAAGCCCTGATGAGGAACAAGACATGAGGTCAGAGATAAAGAAGCACTTTTGGTCCAGCTCGCCAGCCTTTAGCGTGACTCTTAAAATGACACAACAACCAACATTCCTGTTCACAGACGCAAGCCCTATTCAAAAAGCAGCCAATAACTGTAACAGAGCAAGGCTGTGGTCCTTGGCATGTTCAGAGGAGACTGTGATGTAATACCGTTACTGCCATTTTCTACACAAACCACATGATTTGTATAAACTATGCACTTTTGCCACACCCACCCGGTACCATCTCCACATAAAGGGCATGTGTGAGACATTTGTGTTACACTACTTGGAATTATTCATACAGTACATATCTTAAAGAATAAATGCATGAACCATACCAAAGATAACTCTGAAAGACTAAAGGAGAAAGGAAACAACTATATCATGGTTAAAAGCTGTAAAAGTCAGTCTGCTTTAAGAAGTAGATTTGAATTATGACTCTTGATTACACTCACTGAAGTGTTTTCTCATGTTATTAATCCTTCATCTTATCATGAGCAAAAATGAAAGACCTGCATGAGGAGTTTCATTAGAGTACTCTAAGGAATAAGAAAGCACCGTTCTGCTCAGATAAATTAATTCAAAATTATAGTACTGTCTCTAAATAAACAAGCTTAATGTGTGTTTCTCATTGGACTGGCAAATTTGAATGCTGAAAAGCTTGTCTATCGTTTATAGCTGAATATGCTAGAATGGCACGGTGGCTGAGTGGCTAGCACTCATGCCTCACAGCAAGAAGGTTCTGGATTCGATCCCCGGGTCGCCCAGGCCTTTCTGTGTGGAGTTTGCATGTTTCTCCCCGTGTCTGGATGGGTATCCTCCGCGTGCTCTGGTTTCCCCCATCAACCCAAAACATGTTCCAGGTCTCCAGAACAGTTGATAGTTAAGGTCAGTTAAATACAATCAATTCAATCATTGTGTCCTTAGGCAAGACACTTTGCCCACATTGCCTAGTATGAAAGTGGTGTGTGCGTGGGTGATAGTGGTGGTCGGAGGGACCGATGGCGCCGAGTGGCATGGCAGCCGCGCTTCTGTCAGTGTGCCCTAGGGCAGCTGTGGCTACAATAGTAGCTTACCATCACCAGGGTATAGAGTGTATGAATAATGCTCTCTAAAGCGTCTTTGGGGACAGAAAATGTCTGTGAAAGCACTATATAAATAAAGACTTACTTACTTAGAACACCACATTAACAAATGCATCTCTTTTACTTAGCATTAATTATAAATAGTCAAACACATATTTAATAAAGACCTATGCCATTCCTTGGCACTAAAAGCTTTTTGGAGAAGTTATCGCTCAGTGTCTTGTTAGACACTGTATCTTACATGCCCTTTATACTCCTGCCGGGGCTTTCTGCGATGCAGAGCACTGACTGCAGGAAAAATGCTGGTGACTGACAGTATATGATTTAAGCCTCCCACTGAGAGATTCAACCTCACCGCTCCTATGACCACCTCTCACTCTGGCGTCACATAACTGTCCTTCAGATTCTTCACCACTCTATGTACTGTAATCCCACTGGACGCAACTGCAAACAGGTCAGTGACACCTATTTAAATGCATTATGATGAGATTAGATAGATACTTTCAAGAAATTCAAAAGTAAGTTCTTAAATCTTTCCCACTTGTCCTATGTGGCTCTTATAAACCTTTTGGGACACTGCTAGTGGTCACCTGATTGGATTTGAGAAGATCTTTTTCAGACTGAGGAGTGAAACAGAATAGACCGCCTATGCACAGCTAATCCACTAACGCAGTGGCTCTTTATTGCGAGTTTGCAGTTAAAAAACTGTTTTACAATTCTTTGCAGAGAGCATGCAGTAGTCTGATTTTGTCTTAAAGTACTGTTTTTACAAAGCACTTTATGTGGGTAAAATATTTACTCAAGAGAAAAGTAGCTTTAAAGTAGTTCTCCTCTGGCTAAGAAGAATATCACATTTTTTGCTCCCAAATCTGATATTCCCCAATGCATTTCCGGGCTTCTGTAGCTCAGCAGAGTTCAGCATAAGTGTAAACAAGAGGGCTGCCCACAGGCACAGATTGGGTTAGATCTGTGACATCAGTCACTGCACTACGCTTTTAGGAACAGAATGAGCACCTACTACTGTGTTAGTCCACTGCTACCATGAAACTGGAGTCAACAATATATATATTTATATGTGATCATCCAGCCCTACATCTATCTAAGAAGAAAGCACTTAAAACTGAGGAAAAACTGAAAAATGAATGCTAAACTAATTACTCACCCATTTGTTGTACTTTAGAGGCCCTGTGAAGCCCATGGCCTCAATGAGCTTTGTAAAGGCCCCAACTTCTTCCTCTGTGTGTTGGGGAGTTTGTTTTACATGAAAGAGCTGAAAGTTACACAAAAGAAGAAAAAAAGCGTTACTAATAGGTCCTTAATAAAACCGTGTTCAAGCATGCAGTGTCCACTAAATATCACAGGTACTTTCTTAGGTCATGGCATCACACACCTGGACACTGTGGCCTTTACAGGACGAGTGCAGCTGCACAAATTAAGAGTGACCTATTCTAGAGAACATGGTGTTTTGATAAGCTGTCAGTTTTGCTGCAACTTTAGTAATAATCAACATTATGGAATAGTCATTACAAGGGCAAGTTAAATAATGTGCTTAGTACCGGAGAGGTGCTGTGTAGTGTCCGACATTGTGTTAAGCAGGGAGGTGTAACTCTGGTAAGTTGGTATGCAGCAGATGCTCGAGCCAAACAGCCTTCTTCCAGCACCTGAAAACACAATATATATTGTTACAGGATCCACAAATAATCATGAAGATTATGTGCCAAACTGAGATTAGCAAACTGTAAGGTGATATTCGTGTGCTTGCTTGTTGTTGTTTTCTTTCTACATAAATATCTGAAGGCCAGCACATACATTTGGCCTTACAGTGTTCAGTATCATGAAGCATGTTCACTGAAAGCCCATCTAACAGCCCACAAAAAATGATCTTATAAATGGTGACAAAGTAACACATCTGTCAATAAGCCAACACTGCACGTTATATTTGCGTTATATTTGATCTTTTGCTGATATCTTCTGGACACACAGATTATACTGTACATGCTGCTTTGGCCCCGCATGTTTCTTATGGGAATGATCAAGTTCAGAGTGTCGTCTTCACCTACTTCAAATCCTATTAGCAGCTAAGCTAATGTTAGCTGTTACCTTTCCGTAGGCGCCTCTAGACACAGTCACATTGAAAATGCTTTTCACGGCAGACTGCAGTGGCCGCCGATACATGACTCCAAGATATCCAGACACAAGAGCTGAACTGCGGGTCGCCACAATCCCGCGGCTTCCCCTATAAATCCTATAGTTTTGCAACGCGAGTCCTTTCCCTCCCCTCCTCCTCCTCCAGCAATGTCAACGGGATCTGTCCGCCGCCGACTTATGCCCGGGCAGAAACACGGCCCTGAGGAGAGAGGGCCTCAATGCATCAGGCAGGCACACTACAAATGGGATTAAATGCACTAATGTTTCGTTCGATTTCTTCTAATTATATGTAGCTCTTTTATATTTCTTATTTTACTTGTACCTTAATATGTTTTGCGATGAACCACTGTAAGGTAACTTCAGGCTTAGTCTAGCCTACTTGTAGGTTGACACAAATTTAACAGATTTTTCTCAAATAATAGACACACATCATTCCATTACAGAGATATGTCTATATTATAGATAAGCGGTTCCCAAACTGCACGCCTAACACAGGGCTATAGTCTAGGCAAACTGACCCATGGGGTCTCCCAGGCTTGATGCAAATGATTTAAAGATATTAAATGTATATATATATTTTTTTAGATATTGTCTGATGATATCAAGTCTGTTGGAATAGAAAGAACACAATTGCCCATCAAAAGTCTAAAAAATAAAAATAAAAATAAAATTAAAAATTGAAAAAAATGAAAAATTGAAAAAAGTGAGAACCACTATACAAGTTATTCTGCAAGAATTACAAGTAGGCCATCATTTTTATTTAATTTATTTTTTTCTCAAACATAACGACAGAGTGGTTGGCTGTTTTTGTGGCTGCCTGGCTCACAGACTGACCTGAAACTTTTTATTTTTTGAACTCAGTTTTTGACATCTCTTAATGGGATTTTAAGGGATTGTTGGATTTTGAAAAATGAGCTGCTTGTTTTTCATGTGTCTATGGAGATTGTACAAAAGGAGCAAGCTAAAAAGCTAGCTATGGACCATGGATAGACATCTGAGATGCTACAGGGTTTTTAAACTATATGTGTCAGTAAATCTAGCAGAAGACCTTCAGAGGAAATACTTTAAGGAAAGAACCATTTCATCCCCAACCAAGTCCTGTTCCTGATTCCCCCCTGGACACTGCAGTGATTCTGCACGACACAGAGGAGGGAAACTTTTGGCTTTTCCTCTCCTTAAGATGTCCTGACACAGGATGTGCTAATCTTACCTGACCGGTCCTCCTGTTAAATTGCACTAAGACCTTTGACTGAGTCACAAAGGTGACTGAGAAGCACAGTGTAAATAAAGGGTTTGCAGCAGCAAAATTTGAATTTCCCTCAGGAGCTCTCTCCATTTGTCTGACACAAACAGTAAATTTCAATGCTTTAGCAACATTAAACATTAAACAATACAATGGTTTTATGTGACAAAATATGATATATTGTATGACTAATACCAACAGAAGTCTTTGCCAAGCACTAAAACACTGTAAATATACAGAAGAAAAATAAAGGAAACAGAAAAATAATTGTGAGAAATAATATTTATGGGAGTATGAATGGCATAACAAAGGTCAGCTGGAGTTTTCTGGACTAAAGCTTTGTTCCAAATCTCAGCGTGTATACATTCAAGTGAAATTTGACTTGCATAGTTCTTACAATAATACTTCAGTGGTGAGTTATGAGACACGACCTAGAGGGGTAACGTCAGGTCTAGCCAGTGCTATTTCCTCGGCCTGACTCCCTGCAGTGACCTCACCTGACACACAAATACACATACACGCGCACACACATACCAAGTCAATCAGTCATCAACGTCCTTGATCTCCTCATATCTCATATATCTCAAAGGAAGCAGACCACAACTTTCTGCCATTGTTTCATTCTTAAAACATGGCAGCAAATTAATCTCTGTGTTTCCACAAAACGTCATTCTAATTTAAAAAAAAAAAAAAAGTGAATGCCAGACCATCAAATATCATCAGACTGTGCAATGGCGGTGATTTTGCATATAGAGGATCCCACTGTGCAAAACCATACAGTGGTTGTACTGTCAATATTGATATTATGGTCCTGCATGCCCAAATGGTGAGCGCTTCCACCCCCAACTCCTCACGCTGAATTGATTTTCTAAACATTTGTGGTCAGTTAGAGGGAAAAAGTGTTATTTTATCTTCAGAAGGCGGCAAACCAGCTACTTGCTTGTTTAGGTTTGACACAAATTGCTGGGTAGGATTTTTTAATGTGATATCTTAGCCTTACACAGAAACATTTCCAAAAAATCTGATTTTTGGATTTTGATTTCTTTCCCATATTTATTTTTGTATTATTGTTTTAAGTTTCCATTTCAGTGTCTTCCTGGCATCATTTTATTTATATTTTGATTTAACACCATGTCTTGATGTATTCAGTCACTGCAAGAAAAAAACAAAACAACTTGTTTTAGCCTTCAGATTGAATAATAAAATATGAAATGATATCAAACTGGCAGCTATCTCTTACAAATGCAGAAACTTTACTGAGGACAATGGATCATAAGCCATTGTCCAAGAAAAACAACATGTTATGCCAAGAGCGTGACAACTCAACTAAAACACATCTGTATGTAGACATGGGTTGTTAGAACATGTGATAAAAAAAAGTGAAATGTGACAAATAATTTCTTTCATCCAGTGTTCTTAAAGTTTTGTTTAAAATCATATGACCAACTATACCAGTTTAAATATTTATTTTAATATAAGGATGCATTTATTGTGTTTTCAAATGCAGCTTGTGGGCCCAAAGTTAAATGCATGGCTCTTCATGTAGCTGTATGTTTTTGTATTAATAAAGAGTGATAAATGGCGGCTCAGAGGAAGTGGTGAATTCCTCCAAGGCTCCAGTTCCTGTGAGAAACCTGGCTAAAGAAAGCAGACATAAATAACAGCTGCCATCCCACCATCCTGGCGAATACTGAACTGAGCGTGACCACTCGTACATGTGTGTTGGTCAGCTTTTAAAACCATCCCCACTGAGAATGAACGCAAAGAAAACAGAGACCCAGGATGTATTTTTTACATAGAAAAACCCATCGGAGTGATGCTGTCTCTGCTCAAACGCACGTTGTAAATGTAGCCTAAATGTGCCGGTTCATTCAAAGTATTACTCAGTTGGGTATTCTCAATTTTTATCTGGTGTTTTAGGAATACACCAGACTTTTTTATAATGTTCTAGAGTCATCAAATCAAATTGTATGAGAAAGATAACTTCATAAGCTATGTAGGTTTTAAAGTACTTGCCAAATCCATTATCACAAAATACATACCAGGTATAAGTAATTTTCACTTGTTTCATCTCTTGTTTTCAATATAATTGGATGTTCTGTCTTTTTGGTAGACTAAATTCAACAGCACACAGTTAAAATGAAGGAAAGGGGCAAAAGAAACGGGGTGTGGGTGACAGAACTACTCTCCTGCTAGGACGAACATTTCCTGAGTGTCTACATGGTGAGGCTAAAATAACAGCACAGATGACTGGTTAAGCCTTGGGTTTTGCTAACACTCTCACTGCTGTAGTTCTTTCTGTCCCCCTTCCCCTGCTCCATTCTCTAGCTCTTCCTTCCTTTAGACCTCTGGCTAATGTTAGCTCTAACAGGTTGTGATGTGAAACAGGGTGCCAGCCTGCTGTACAAACGCATGATCTAACCTCCACAGCTCTTTCATTTGGTGTTGTGTGTTTTGTGCAGGTGTCTTGGTGAAACATGTTGATTCAGCAGGGCCTTATATTATCTTGCACATTGGACCCTTTGGTATCCAGGAGCTTTGTAGACCCCAACATAGTTTCAAAGAAGTAATTCATCAGCTACCAAACTTTGCAAGATCTGTATACTGTAACTAAGACCTCTACAGGCTTGCTTTGCTATTTAAACTTTTTAATTTACTCCAACCAAATAATCCTACAAGTTACTTTAAACAAGTCACTTTAAATCTAACACAACAAATCATAACAATTTTCCTTTATTCTGTTAGTATCATAACTGTAATGATTTAATTGTTGTGCTGTGAACAAAATGTCTAGGTTTATGCTGAACAAAACAGCCTGACACTCATCATCACAGATAACCTTATTTATTTTAAATTTTTTCAGTTTTAAAGCTTACTGAATATCCGAAGAAACAAAAACTTCTATATAAAATAAGTGAAACAGTTTTAAAGCACGTGGTTTGCCACTGTTAAAGTTCATCACATTTTCAGCTTTGAAAGTGCAGACTCTTGCCAAATCTCTGTTGAAACAAGACTGAAGTGAAGATGGTCTGCAAGCATTGTCTCCAATAATAGTCTATGGCTACATTCAACTTAAAAACAGCTGTGTTCTTTCCGTGTGATAATTTACTTACAAAAACAGGTCTGAAGAAACATTAGAAGCTTTGGAGACTTACCATAGAGGGGAATGTGCTGACAGAATGGTGTGGACACAACAAGTACAGATTTTGTTCATGTTTTTTGTGTTACGTGGATGTTGTGGGCAATCTTCAAAGTTAAATGATTCTGTGGCGTATCTGTGGACCATCATACATATTTGTTTTTATAAGTTTAGACTGCATTATTAAATATTCCCTACAACAAAATACCATCTCTTCATAGTTCTTGTCTCCTTGGCTGGAATGAACAGTCCGTCCTGATGGTATCGGCAGCACAAACCTCCAGCAAGCATTTGTACTGAAATACATTTTCATCAGTTTGTCTTGGCCTGGGCGTTTTAATAATATTTTATATTGGCGAGACAATGCCAGTGGTTGATTTCAGTAATGGTAAAAGCTGGACTTCCTTGTGAGCTAAGATCTCTTGTTCAACTTGTCATCACTTCAGTCTGACTACAAACTCACAGTACCGGCAGGAAGATTAGTATATTCTGATCCTTCTAAAACCCTAGTTATTCATTTCATTATGACATATGGCTTCTCATGCAGAATCTATTTTCTTTCATATGTTTCACAGCACATTCAAACCACACTGACCTCAGGCTAAGTGGATACTATTTCTTTATTATATCACCTACTCTATAATTTTCATCAGGCCACTTGTACAAATGCAGGGCCTGTATGCATTCTCTTCAAAACCCCTTTCCTTCCTTAGTCTGTCATTTATTCTATACATTTGTGCTCATGGAACCAGCTGGAGGATTATATTCTGTTGTCAGTG